ATTTAAACACTATGGACGTTTTTCTTTTAAATATATATATATAAATTATAACATAAAATTTATCATAAATGTGATAGTATACATTTGTCGTATTAGTTAATTTTGATATTATAATTAACTATTCATTAGTTTGGATAATTAGTATTTTTATTTTTCTTTATCTAAGTGCAAGATCTGAGTTATATTTCTTTTATAAAATTATGTTATCATTGATTGTAATATAATCAATATGTAAATATTACATGGTTAATGAAATCTATGAATTTTGTATAGAATCATAATTCACTGTAATTTACGAATGTATTTGTTATGTTTCCTGGCTTGCTGTTTATTTTAATTTAGTTTTTGTTCTAATTTTATTTTAAATTAATGTTTATACTTTTAAAAATCTTCATATTAATATTTTTTTTGTTAATGACTGTGGCCTATGTCGTCAATTTAAACACACGATTTTAATTAGTAAGTTAGCTTTCAATTTTAGGGAAAAATCTCATCCTCCCATTTCTACTCTTGTATTTTTTTTTTTCTTTAGATTATATGAAATCATGTTATTATTTTTATATTTAGGGAAATTTATGTTGTTACTTTGATATTTAAGAAGATTATTAAAAAAAGTAGTAAGAGAAAATGAGATAAAATATTAAAAGAAAGAAAAAAATAATTTTAATTTTTCAAATAATTTAAATTTATCTAAACAAACTAATAGCACGTGTCTGTCTATATCGATAAAATGTTATATAATTGTTAACAATATTTATTGTCACGAACGGAACTAAACAAATTATAAAATAATTCTTTTGTACATTATTTTTCTATAACATACCATCACTTTCATTTTATTAAGTTTCTGATTAATGGGTTGTGGGATGAGGACTTGAGAATTATGTACTCTGTGTAGAGTTTGGGAATTACCTGCTCATCAAATATTATGAGATATATTTTAAGTGAGTAATCTCAAAATTTTAATATTTGTGGATGTAATCTGTTAAGAAATTTGGAAAAATAATTTGAATCTGATTTGATATTTGTATGTTCAGTAAATCTCGCAAAAATAGTAGATTACCACCACAACAGTTATGTATGACCGGACTTTATAAAGTAAAATTTTATGTTTTAAAAAAAATAAAATTGCAACTAATTATATTTTAGGTACCAAATATATATACTGGTCCGCTGAGGAGAAATTAATTCAAGAAAATAGACCGAATGAGAAGTACTTTTCGAGATAGCATAGGCTAATTAAAAAGAAACCCCTGGAATCCAAAGACCTAAACCATCCTTTATTGAAATAATCTAATGTGTCCGAAATAGATCACTTGGTTTCGGCTTTTGGATTTTATCATACGATACAATATCCATTGAGAACCACATACGAAGACTTCACCTTTATTTGAAAAACCTAAACTTTCTCAACTATTATTAATCACGTTTAAAGCCCAAAACAGCCTCTGTTTTCTATTTATTTTATTTTATTTTCAAACATTATCATTTTTCTAATTTGGATTATACGAAGGAAACATAAAATGTTTAGAACCAAAATAGTAAATGCAAAGATCACCATAAACAGCCCTGATTTTCAATTAGTTTCATTGTCAACCAGTGGGTAAACTCATTCAACAATCGCCAAAGAGCTCCCTGAGACAAGCAGAACCGAAAAGTGGCGAAAAAGGTGAATTGGTAGAGATTTTGAATGCCACATATCGTCATTCTTCAAGTAAATTCATTTTTCCAGTCAAGATTGAAGGAAGCAAAAAACTTACTACTTTTTAAACAAACAGAAAGCAGATCGAGTTCTAGACACCTAAACGGTACCAATACTGCCAAAATCATATATCTCAAACACCCCAAAAGTCAACCATCTATGTTATAATATAACAATATATTTAGGCACCAAACCTGTGTAATTAGATTTTGAAAAAATGCCCAAACAGTTCCCTCAAACCTCCAAAGAGAGGCCTAAATTACTTTTTGTCCAGTGTATCAACATAGATGTAGGCCAAGTCATCCATCTTGCCACTTAAATTTATACTCAAAAATAATCCATAGACTATCTTGATTTCCTTATTTCATATCATCAAATGAAGCATCGGAAACAATGATGAATTCTAGATTTTATTCTATGAAGGCACATGAGAATAACCTCCAAGCAATATTGAGAATGACTCTTAGCAAATGGCGGAAACATATTTTTGGCATCAAAACAAAATTTGAAAGACCCCGAAAAGAATACGTACAAGTTCAAAGAGCAAGATTAAAGAAGAAAAAATAACAAAGCAAATGAAAAGTTGCAAAAGAAAGTCAAAACACCTTTAAGCTAAGTTTGAGAATGATGACCATCTGGAGCTTAATGCAAACCCCACAGGAACATGCATGGACTAAGATGCTTTGACTTTGCTCTATTATTCAAACAAGGCCTTCTAAGAGGCAAGGAAAAGAATTTCTCTGATTCCTCCATTCATGCGTTTAACTATTCACAAGTCTCCTTAACAATTCACAAGTCTCCATTGTAAATTAGATTAATCTTAATAAATCCTCAATCCATCTCGTATATTCAATGAGACAACATTAACAGTTAATCATACATAAAATATAAGCAAAGCAGTAACGCTAAACTTTGATTTACATTTTCATGGCATCCTTATTTCAGAAGAGACAACAAATCAACTAAGAAAATAGCAGTTTAGGCTTTTGATTTTACCTAAAGGAGCTCGATTAAGATCCCTATGCTTGCCATCACTACGCCTCTGTCGTCCCTTTTCTGGATCCCTTGCCTTCCGCTTGAATTCTCTGTTTCTTTGCCTTTTGTTTCTCTTTCGTTTTCCTAATTTCTTTTTTTTTTTTCTTTCTTTCACTTTTCTGGTCGTCTCCTCAGTTTCCTTCTCTCCTTTCCGGAGCTTTTCTGTTCTTTCTTGTGGAGAAGGTCAAGTCTTCTCCTGAAGCTCGAATGACGAGTTGCAGGCATGCATGAACCCAAAGTTTTCTTTTCTTTCTTTTGTGAAATTTTTATTTTTAAGTTTTCGTTAAAGAATAACATTCTCTAAATATTTCCATTGAACTCTGAAATTTTATTTATTTGCATTGCAAATTTTTAATTTGAAAAACAGAATGTATATTTCATTTCACATTTCATGGTTTCAAGCAAAAAATACAGTATCAAAAGGGAAGAAAATCAAGTACCAATTCTTAAGTGTGGATTTAAAATAAAATCATAAAACTAAATAGAATCAAGTATCAATTGAGGGCATTCATCATATTATAAGAAAATGTTGTATATAATAAATCTCCAATCTTGAACAGCCTTCGTGTATTTTTTTCAATTTCAGGCTTGTGCGAAGAATGAAGTGATAAATATTTGTGTCTTGACTTCTAAACATCGAAAGGATATTTCACTCATGGTAACAATAGCATTAGGAATGTCAACTTGTCATATTAGTAATACCATTTTCATCAATCTAAAAATTATCACATATGCAATATGGTCAGTATAGATTTACGACAGGGAAGCTTATCCACTAGAATCTAAAATCCCACATTCCTAAGACACCCTATAACATATAAACACCTTCATATAATAGCATAAAAATTACAACCAAAAGCACCAAAACTAAACAAGAAAGTGCAACAAAAAGGAAAAAGAAAGGGCTACCCAAATTACCTCTTCAGCATATCTTTATATTGCAATGAGACTCAGAGAAATCTGGAACATGGATAAATGGAGGCTGATGAGCTTGGATTTGATGAAGGGGATTTTGTGGTTTAGTGTTGTGGTTTTGCAGAGATGAAGCTCCTCCAAGTTGGCATGCCTGCTTTTTCTCTATCTGCAAGCCCAGTTTCCTATCACTTTGATTTGTCGCAACCAAGTCAATCTTCACCACGATCTCTTTTGCTATGTACTTCAATAATTCATTTAAACATGATGGTGATGTGAATTTTCATTTTGGGGAAGGGGGGGAACCGAGAGTTATGAGGATTTTTAATTTTAATCTTCTGTGAAAGATGGAATAATAAAGGAGATAGTCTAATGGTGGGGAAGATGAGAATGAAGAAATCTGCATGAGAGATTAGAGAATGTTGTTTAAAAGTTCATAGAAGAATGAATTGGAGGCTAAGATATTATTGAGGATTTTGAAGGAATTTGAACTTAAGCAGGAATATTTAGAACAGCTAAACAATATTTGAGTGCTATTAAATATACAAAATAATTTTACCTCTAACTTGTTAGGAAATAATTCACAAACTTTTCACTCACATTGGTAATTCTATATTCTCAGCAACACAAGATTACCATTCATATTCTCATGTAAAAAACTAGTGGAACATGAGGATCCATAATGGATTTGGTAAACCAAAAATAAGTTTATCTCCAACACAACTAATCCTTTCAGTTGTTTAGATATTTTTTAAAAAAGAATTTGTATGATGTGCATGCATTACATTATACAGATCTTTGTTAAATTGGAAAAAAAAAAGTTCCATGATAATAAAAGTATAAAAAGAGATGATAATAATAGTTAATAAAATAATAATATGATTAATAATCTCAATGCAATGAGTCGATTTATTGAGAAAACAACATATACAAATAAAATATAATTTCTTTGCTCAATTGATTGCAATCAGAACCTAAGTTTGATTGTAACAACCCAAGAAACCCTACATTATTAGGGGATTGTAATATCTGTAAACTTTTCTCTTGACTAATCAAAATATACAAATTTTGGTGAAATTTCCATTTTTATAATTGTTGGATCCCTTAAAATTCCCCAAAGAAGGAATGAATCGTCCAGGAGGGATAACATCCCTCGGGGAGGGGATAAATCTTCCAAGGGGGATAAAATCCCTCAGGGAAGGGAGATAATTCCCTTAGAGGGGTATTAAATCTCCCAAAAGAAAAATAATTCCTCAAGAGAGATATTATATCCCTCGAAAAGGCGGATTTTCCGCTAAGAAAGAAAAATTTCAAAGGAGAAAATCACAAGAAAAGAGAGAGGGGAAATCCCCCGAAAGAGAGAAACTCCCTCAAGAGGGAGAAATCCCTCGAGAAGGAGAAGAAATCCTCCACCTGCAGGAGAAAATAGGAAGGAAACATGAAAATGGCAGTGGAGACCCCAACTGACTGCAATACCCGAAAGTGCCCATGTGGCCACAACCCATCGGTCAGTACCCAGTTGGTTGGCCACTTCCACCAGCAATGGCCCAAATCACATGCATGTGGTCCGATGGCCCAAAATGCTTGGAATTCCCACTTAATAGCCC